ACTAGGATGAGTAATTGGAGTGTTTTGTAACTTCGGTGATTGACAGAGAGCAAAGTAGTTTTGCCGATAACGGTGCCACCAAAAAAATTCTGTCGAAGTGGTTTTACGGCCAGAAACTAACGTTTTGACCTTCTGGCGTCAAATGTATATAATGGTCGGACTTACGAACTGGCTTCAGTAGTTGGTGAAGCACGACTGCAGCAAAATGGATATTAAGTGTTTATTTCTTCTGTTGGTATCGGCCATAATTTTCATTTCCACAGGTAGGCATAATAATTCAGTTTTACGACATTTCTGTAATTGTCCAGGTAGGAGCGGAATGTCACAACGCGTTTCTACTGTAAAGCCAACTCCAGTTTTAATTTGTGCACCTTTTTCATAAATACGGCTGTGATAACCTTGTCATGCTTATTTTTAACTATTATAATGACGCGCATGAAGCTGAAAGAAAATGAGAAGATTTCATAACCAGAAGCTTCATAATTTGTATCCTTTAGTAAATATTATACCTGTAATTCAAGTTGGGTATGTAGCAACTACGGTAGAGGTGAGAAATACGTACAGAATTGTAGATGGATAACCTGAAGGAAAGATAACCCTTGTATTCGAAAAAAAAAAGTTAAAATTTCAGCTTGCTTACAGGCAGCCCTGAAACCTTCAAACACGGCATGACGTCCTCTATTCAAATTCTTGCCAACTCACAATTTCTGATAACTTTCCTTTAATTCTGCAACTGAAACAGCGTCCCCGAGTAACCTATGTTTGGCCTTATTTTATTAATGTGCATTTTATTTACTTACAGGTGTGAATGCATCAGCGGATCCAGAGCCTTATGTAAGTAAATGATCCGTCAGAACTTAAACAAGAGGTGGACAAATGCAGTTAAGAGAAGTTACATAAAAATCGGATTTGAGTGCCAAATTCGTTATACTGTGAGGCAGTAACTGTTGACGCAAAACATCTGTGAGGCCAAGCTACGTTACAGTAAATGTTAAAGACGCTTACAGATATTTTGCGACAAGTAAACAAAGGTTTTACAAGTTGATCGGCTCTTCTACGCCACTAATATATTATAATAAATACCTAATTTGTTTATAGCATTTTAATAATTCAGTTCAGACCGACATTTAGTGTTCTGTTCACGATTTCTGTTAACTTTTTGCCCGTGGATGAATGTTGCTTATATCTAAAGCCCAGATTCCATCAAACACGCGTCACTGAACTATTTTTGTCCCTTTTTAATTACTTCAATTTTTTAACAGCTGCCAATACTTCCGTGGTATCCACATTATCCCAACCCATGGCCTCTGCGTGGCAACCCAGGAAGACGTCCTTGTCTTTCAACTAGCACAACAGTGACTTCAACAGAGCCTATCACTACTACCACTATTACCAGTGCAGTTACTGGTTGAAGCTAACTGGAATGAAATGGGTTGCATGTTTTGTGGTCAGGACCTCAACATCTTTACCGGATGACTTTAAACTACACTGACAAAATATGACCTGGTTAGAGATTCAACCCTCAGTAACAAAATAAAAAACAAGAATATCGAACACTTACTACAAATAAAACACTGTCAGCTTTATTTCAATAAATATCAATTGCGCATTTTATGTGATGGATACATAACTTTCCTATAAGTCCCAATTCTGAATACTGTGGTTTTAATAATTTTATTGATTTTTTTGCAAATGATTCTTCAATTTTAGAAGAAGACAAGAAATTGGTGAAAGTTGCATAACGAGCGCCATATTTGTACTCTTCTCCTACGGTGACACATATGGATCTTCCTATTGTCACCCCTCTTCTTCCTTTTCCTTACTCCCATTTACGTGATTCAGGTACGAAAATGAGGGAATTAATGGAAAATAAATTTAGAGAACAGTTAATAAGTTTATATTCTTTTAAAATTATGCCAAATTACAACTTTCTTTTGAACAATATTCTAATTAGTTTCAAGTATTATTTACTCTTTAACGTAAGCTAAGAAAAATTTCATATTGGCCTATCCATGTCTGTCCTTTCATAGATAATAGATAAACGCCTTGAGAATCGATTAGAATCAGAGTTAATTAGATATTTGTAAGAAGTAAGACGTAAAGTAAATGTAACAATAAGAAAGGTAAGAATAATAAAGAAATAATAAATATAAGAGAAAGAATTAAGGATAGACGATGGGGGTAAGCAAGCATGACATCTGACTATGGCGCAGCGACTAATAATATTTTTAATATTAGTAAATTCCTAAATCTGTGAAATATGCTTTTGTGATGTATCAAGTCACAACCATTAAATTTATGGTCAGATCCTTTGACTTAACATTTGTTCTTCTAGCAATGATTAAGATATTGCAAAAAGAATTAATTTAAATTATGTAATTGGCGAATTTGCGTTATTTTAAAGCAAGAAAACTAACATGATAAATTTACAGTTGTTCAAGAAAAATGTTAATCAGTTATATTTTATGTTATACTTCAACAATGCAATTTAAGTTAATTTTTCAGTAAGAGATAAACATTGTTCCATTAGAGCGTAATGTTCAAACTTCTGGACAGAATACGTACTAAAGAACTAGGAACAGTGAAAATGTTATTGTGTCAGCCACAAGCAAAGTAATTGGAACACCTCATTAACTGTGCAGATACGACAACAATTCTGTTGTTTGTGACAGAACTCTCCAAGTGTTACGAAACCGGCTTCGTCCCTGAAAGCATTAGTCATGCCTGTCAAAGTGTCGAGAACGCTATTTCACGTATTAAATTTTTTCCTTGTGATTCGATGCGTTGTGGTAACCCAAACAATTAGATTTTCATTTTAAACACGCCTTTTAATACAACTTGGGGGGGAGGGGATATTGATTTGTTTACGAAACAAACAGGGTAAGCTGATTACAATAACGAGGAAACGTTCACTTCTGGATTGACTAGTGATGTTGCTGATAACCTATACACGGATATAGCAATACTGGGATACTGGATACTGGGAACGATCCGTTCTTCAAGTGCCTGAGCACTGCTGGTCCCAACTTTTCGTTGGCTCGGTCTATAGACATTCGGTAGGACTCCTTGGATGAGGGATCGGCCCGTATCAAGGCCTCTACCTGTACACAGGACAGCACAACACAGAAAAACCCGTACAAACATCCATGGCTTGAGTGGGATTCGAACCCGCGGTCCCAGCGACCAAGCGGCACAAGGCCCACGCCTCAGACCGCGCGGCCACTGCGACCCTAATCTAAATAAAAATCAATATAAATAAAACATAGTTTGTTTACAAATTATTATAACACAGCAACTTACTGTTATGACCGCTGAGGCTTCACCGCCGATAAAAAGCTTTTTAAATCAGGTTTGATGCTTGTCTTCAGTTGAGGGATTGACATGAGTTCTTTATCTGTGAGCCGGTTCTGTTGTTTACATTTATTTAACTTCACCAATGGGAAAGCTTATTTACGAGTACATACGTGTTTTCAAACAATTTGCAAAAACAGCTGTCTTTAGGATGACTCACAGATGTTAAACGAGTTGCCTTATTTGAATTGAGACCTAAACTGCGATGTACGTTGATAAATTGTACATAAAGAGTAGGTTCAACGTCTTCATTTGATGTTTCTGAAAGGTTAGCAAATATTTTGAACAAAGCCTTATCCCGATTGAACACCAGACCATAAATAAGAGTCTAAATTGCATAGGGTACCATTTAAAACGCAACAAAATGACAATCAGAAGCAGTCCCACCCCTTAAAATAAATGCGCCCAACTTGACCTTTGACATTCGAGTCAAGGTCACCCTTGTTGCTAGCCCGCTGTTCACGTCAGTTGAATGAAAGCTGCGAAAGTGCGAACATGGTGGATTCACGAACACAACGCACGTTCATTTTCGAAAATTGATTCGCATGTAAGTCGTTTGCTGTTTTTCGTGTAACAAATTGCCTATGACAACAGAAATTACTACCGTACCGATTTCAAGCGATGAGTCAGCTGCAATAACGGGATAAGGTTCCAAGAATTCGATATTTCCATTAGCTTCGTCGTTTTTGTGAGATAAAGGAGTACGTGTGCTTTTTCAATTAAAAATTCTATATGTTTGAGTATTTCCCTAGCAGAGACAACCCCGGAAATACAACTGGTCTAATTTGAAAATTAGGCTCAGAGGTGTCCAAATATTTATACAATGGCGCTTTGTTAAAAATGGCTAATAAAACAACAACGGGCAAAAATAATGTGTGTTTCAACACTTAGGCACAAGTTCTTTTAAATATTTTGGCTATGCAACGGCGCGTAGTAGAAAAAAGGCACACTGGAATGTTTTCTTCCGGCAAGGCAAACCAAGGGAAAAGATCGATTTCTACTGTTTCGATAAAGTGGCGTTTTATGTAAAAATGTGAAATACAATTTCCCACGTTATAAAAACTTTCGTTTATAAAGAACTGAAGATTAATTAACGGCCCATCGTAGAAAAAGTTTCGTAGTACACTAAAATTCCAAAGGCATTCTTTATGTTACAGCAAGAGAGATTAAGTCAACGAGGCAACCGAGGGAATACCAAATGCCAAAATGGTATAAAATGCAACAGTTCTATCCATGGTCATTGTAGTAACAGTATGGTACAAGGTCATTGTTTCAATACCATTACTCTTGGTCATTTTTGGAAAAATGTAATAAAACAGAAAACAGACAAGATATTCGCCTAAGTTACAGAATAAAGGACAGATAAAATATTTAATTCGATATCGCCTTGCATTTCAATGATCATTGCGAGAGTTTATCAGGAATGTCATCTATATTCCGGTCATGAAAACTACAAGATCAGTAATGCCATACGAGGTCACGAGAAAGAGAGAAAATAAATTAATAGGTCTTTTGTTCAACAGATGCTATTAAGTGGATGAGGTATGCATAAAAACAATTAATATATTCACACCGACATATGCCTGTGGGCTACCGATTCAGAATACAGCCATGACAAAGGGTAATTATTGCACAAGAATGAAAAGGGATAATCATAACTTGTTTATTACATGGTAAATTAACATCAGTATTATTAGTAATTGCTGTTTGATTCCTTGCCTGCTTTAACAATACATGATATTATTATTAATAAAACAAAAAAGTTTCTGAATTAAAGATAAAAATATAAAACCAGCTTACTGTATTTGATTCAGGTCGTTGTAAATTCGAAGATCCAGTTACATAAAAAGGGAAAAGTACGTAATATTTTACGTTTCTATAAATTAAATTTAAATATATTTAGAACAGAAGACAATAGATTTTGTAAAAAATATAACTCATTTTCAACACTAAATTGGTGAATTATTTTGGTATGCAGTTTAGTGTTTTATAGTAAACAGAACAGAGAAATCACAGCTGCTCAATGCCTTATCTCACAATACGGAGAAAAATCTATCCAGCAACACTAGACGCTGAAGATCCTGATTCTGTCATAGATCCTGAAACACCACTTACAATTCACACAGATTCTGAATTTGAACTAGCTGAAGATTCTGATCCTGTGAGTGATCCAAAACCGCCTTCATTAGATCCAGAAGGCGATTGGATCAAAGGACCTAAACCTGTAATAGAATCCACGGGACTGTAACTTCCAATAGATCCTGCAGTCGAGTGGGATAATAATCCTGAATCTTTTATAAACCCTGAGGAGTCAAACCCTCCATAAGATCCTCCACTTGACTGAGCAGAAGATCCTGAACCTGCAACAGATTCTATGCCACTCAAAACTCCGTACCCTCCTGTGACAGGACTTAGACTTGACAGAGGATGAAGCGCTGAAGCTCCTAACAAACCACCAAAATTGCCATAGCCACTGCCAACAAATCCTGAAGTTGACTGGGCAGAAGACCCTGAACCTGCCACAGTTCCTACACCACCGTAACCTCCATAGCCACTACCAACAGATCCTGAAGTTGACTGAGCAGAAGACCCTGAACCTGCCACAATTCCTAAGCCACCATAACCTCCATAGCCACTACCAACAGATCCTGAAGTTGACTGGGCAGAAGACCCTGAACCTGCAACAGTTCCTACACCACCGTAACCTCCATAGCCACTACCAACAGCTCCTGAAGTTGACTGGACAGAAGACAATGAACCTGCCATATTTCCTGAGCCACCATAACCTCCGTAGCCACCACCAACAGATCCTGAAGTTGACTGGGCGGAAGACCCTGAACCTGCCACAGTTCCTAAGCCACCATAACCTCCATAGCCACTACCAACAGATCCTGAAGTTGACTGAGCCGAAGATGCTGAACCTGTCACAGTTCCAAAGCCACCATAGGCTCCATAACCATTACCAACAGAACCTGAATTTGCCTGGGCTGAAGACCCTGAACCTGCCACAGTTCCTACACCACCGTAACCTCCATAGCCACTACCAACAGATCCTGAAGTTGACTGAGCAGAAGACCCTGAACCTGCCACAGTTCCTAAGCCACCATAACCTCCATAACCACTACCAACAGATCCTGAAGTTGACTGAGCCGAAGATGCTGAACCTGTCACAGTTCCAAAGCCACCATAGGCTCCATAACCATTACCAACAGAACCTGAATTTGCCTGGGCTGAAGACCCTGAACCTGCCACAGTTCCTACACCACCGTAACCTCCATAGCCAATACCAGCAGATCCTGAATTTGCCTGAGCAGAAGATCCTGAACCTGCCACAGTTCCTAAGCCGCCGTAACCTCCATAGCCACTACCAACAGATCCTGAAGTTGCCTGGGCAGAAGACCCTGAACCTGTCACCGTACCTAAGCCACCATAACTTCCATAACCACTACCAACAGATCCTGAAGTTGCCTGAGCAGAAGACCCTGAACTTACCAATAACCTTCTACCGCCGAAACTTCTATAACCACCTCCAACATTTCCTAAATTAGACTGAGCCGGATATCTTCGTCTTCGCACATAATTTGTGCCATTAAAATTTTCATGATGCGATCCGGTACTTGTATGAACAGAAGATGTTAAAACTGATGACGATTCAGCTCCGCTGCTACCTTCGTATGTCCTTTTTCTTGCCTGAAACAGTGTTTTGGAACGGGCTGAACTTCCATTTGCACTATTTGTTCCTGATTCTTCAGCTCCTAAAACTGAACATCTTGTAATTCTACTTGATGCTTTAGATTGTACTGATGGAATTCCGGCACTCGTATTTGAACTATTTACCCCGGAGGTTAATCCTTCTAAGATAGAATTTGCTAAGTCCCCGATGGTTCCGAAAGCACTAGAAGCTGTAGATATTGCCGAAGTTGCAGCAGGTGCAAGTGCGGTTCCAAGCTGTGTTGCAAATTGTAATCCATTTGGAGAACCGCTGTCAGAACCTTCAGAAATCCAACCAGCATTTCCGAAACTGGAGTCTGGAATATAAGAAGTTATTCCCAAGACAAATTAATGGTCTACTTCAGTGTGTTACAACATTGAAGTGATTTATCACAGTGACCTAATCTGTTAAATTATCCACCTAAAAAGTAATTTCAAATTTAGAGGAAGAAGAAACAACATTTTCAGTTATATTTTGTTTTGAACCATAGTAGATTGCCTTGAACAAAGATAAGCCAAGATACTTAACCATGGACAAATTTTGCACGTAAGATCTCACAAGTAACAAGAAGTAGAAACATGATAGAGACTGGGAATATATCGACTGACATTTATTTTAGCTAGTGGAATTAATACACAAATCTAGACAAATAAAAGACTAGCAGCGCGCTGTGATGTGTGCAGTTTTGTATCCCTGTGAGATGGAATTTAGGTTTGGTCCTGCTCGGTGTATGGCGGTCTCTTCGAGTTATTCTGTGTTATGGTGTCCTGTGTGCGTGCAGGTCTTGCGACTTGTCAGTCTCTCGTTTAAAGGGTAATACGAAGTGTCCTCCCCAATAAATTTTGAACCAATTGATGGGTTTTTACAAAACTTTATATGAAAATTTTGCCATTTATAATCCTCTAACATAAGCAGTATGAATATGGCGGATATTAAAATTTTAGATACTGGAGCGACATTAAAGCCACTTGAAACAGTGTCATACAATTTGGTTTTCATTTAGATATTTAAAAAACATTCAATTCTTATTTATGGCATTGACATATGCAGCAGGTTAAACAACAGTATGTCAACCGAAAGAAGTCTATGTATGATTTACAATTTAATAAAAATAATGAACCACTTAATCCAGGCAGGTGAAGCTTGATATGGTGATATATGATGAGCATATTAAAAATCCTTTATAAAATATTGATTACTTATGAGGATTCACTGGAAGAAAGAATATGGTAAGATGACAGTGAACGGGCAGAGACGAATGGAGAGTGGGAATCAGAAGAAATTAATTACCTTAGAAACTGGTACATATGTGGCAATAATTACAAATGTAGTGATGGTGCTGAGCTTTGTGGTTAAACCTGGCAGATTCTATTTAATCGTAATGCAAACACGGAAATTAAAACTAGATTTCTTAATGTTAATTTACATATCTGGGGTACTGAGATGGTAAGTTTCTTACAGAACTTATTGTTAAATATTATATATAAAAGAAATATTTTCTTCAGATGGGGTACTGAGATGGTAAGTTTCTTACAAAACTTATTGTTAAATATTATATATGAAAGAAATATTTTCTTCAGAGCAAATACAGAGTCAGTACCAACAAATTGGTTCCCTTAGCTTGGAACAGCCTACCTGAGACGGAGACAATGGGTGGCGACAACTCGTTCTTGAGCCATCCAGTATTGTAGTTGGTCGAAGATGCGAATCCCGGTAAAACGGGTGAGTCAAGGGGTGAGTTCAACTGTGCGCCTGAGGCACTGTGTTTCTTCTCCGGAGTCCTTACGATATGTTCTGATAAAACAGGAATATCTACAAAGTTAAGTCCCTAGGTGCATCAGATTTCTTATGTTCTTTGCACTCACAAATTCTTACGGCCGCGGTGATTTACTGCTGAAGAGAGGCAGTGATTTCAAAGTACCACCATTTTTCTTCTTTTTTCTATAACTTGGAATAGTAAACTGATACAATAAAATTTAAGTACAACTATCTAAGAACGCTTTAATTTCAAAAAGCTTATTAGTTTCCTACTTAGAAACTAGCCAATGATTTACATACAATTTAATCTTGAACTGAGCGGACAATACGTTAATATTAGTTGACATTTTATCTTACCGAAGGCAAGAGTGACAGACAGATGTATCAGACCAGCAACGTACAACCGCATGTTGGCAGCAGAAGATAATTACTGTTAGACGCGTGTTTTAAAGTCACAGATGTTACGTTATGATTATGATATACAAAAGACTGTATCTCTACATATAATGAACAGAAAACCCAAATTACTTTTAACGTAGGGACTGATAAATAAGTCGTTAACTTTGTGTTTTCCAGACACGCCATTGATGTCTCACTGGGTCGTCACACAAATTTCAAAAACTTAACCTCGATTTAAGAACAAACTAAATAACAATCTATTTATGATAATGCAATTGGTATTTTAGCATATTTATCTTGTAAGTGACTGACTGTCTATCTAGTTACTGACAGCTGATAGATTTTTCAGAGCAGTTAAAAAAATGTCTTGTCCTTTATGGAAGTCGAAGGACCATTACAATGTTTACTAGAGGTTACCACTAGACTGTATAGTGAGCCAGATAAACCCAGTCTACATCCTGGAAACTTATTTCTTTAAAATAAATTTCAATAAATTTATGTAATCCACATCCAGGTTTTCAAATTAATCCATTGTCTTCGGCTATAAAGAAAAAAAATTGTGTGCATTTCTTAGTTTCCTTATGCGTGATACTAACATTTATTTGTGATATACATGATTCTAATCACTGCCTGACCGACGGTTATGTTGCTTTAATTAAGTCTCTTCAGTGGACCTAAAATACCGAATCCATTTCTATTTAACATTTATTAATACCATTCTTCACATCTGATCCGATACTATATAAACTATGTTACATAAATAAAAATGAATGTTTCATTTTTACTGTTAGAAATCTAATCATAGTCACGGCGTGTGAAAGTTTCCAGAAGCTGCATCATTTCTATTGCCAATCTTCAGGGGGTTTACTAGAGTGACAACACGTCTCTGCGTCATTACCATGCAGTGGCAAACACCCTAATGGCCCCTATAAATATACAGCATTCTGAACATCTAATACCAGTCGGGTTCAAGGCTCCTGAAAATGAAGAAAAACACCGTCGTTGTCGGCATCCTGGCACTTGCAACTGTTCAAGCGGCCAGTAAGTACTCAGAGTATTGTACTGTAGCAACTGTACATTTCAGTTTTCCTTTCAAATTTGATTTACGTTACAACGTTAGAAAAGTCCGATAAAATCAAAGCGGGTTTTAACTGATTATAATATACAAGTTTCTAGGAAATACTGATTAATTATATTAATTTAAGCTATACCATAAGGATAAAAAGAAAGAAACATGTAAGGATTTTGCGTGGAAAAAATAAAACAAAAATAAACATATGGTCTCTTTACCTCACTGTAGACATTTGAGACTAACTCCTTCATATTCAGAAACCTTACTTGGGATATAATTTTGACTATAACCTATGAACTATGTAAATAATTACACAAGTCACGAAACCTACAAAATGTTCACACCGCGTGCCGTAAGTTTTAGTTTCGCTCTACTCCACAGGTATCCCGTCATCAAACAAGGAAGCACCACTTCAAGTACCTCCTGGTCCCGCATCGGATATTGCAGAACATACGGAGGTTGAGAAACGTCCGCATGATGCTGAGATTAATATCAATGACGCCACTATTTCAGATGGTACGTATATTGCCCTGTCGGGGACTGAACATAGACCTACTTAAACAGCACAGCCACATGTCAGCCAATCATCCAAGAGTTTTTAGGTGTTTTTTTTACGATTTAGAGCAAGTGAGTACCTCTTTAGCGTCAATCAATCTAAGGGAACGTGCTACTATCGATCATTATTGTTTGAACTATTTTATTTTACAACCTTACGATGTAACCTTGAAACTTACATGTACTCTGCAGAGTACAATTTCCAATCGTGTTTCTCTTGACATGTTAAACGGATATAATTTTTTTGTGAAATTTATTTCCATGTGGACCGCAATAAATCGACCAGTGTAAAGCTGACCGTTCACCTCCATCTTATTCTAAGGTTAAACATGCGTGGCATTGTACCTCCATTTTTACTTTATTATCAGTCTTAACACCAAGACAAACTACGCAGCCAACGAAGTCACTGAATGACTTTCTCACTAACAGACAAATCATGTGGTTCGGGTACTGTATTGAAAAGTTTATATTGTTCAAATTCAATAAATTCGTTGATTTTATAATCCCAAAGGTCCTCTACCGCGTTTGCAGAAGATTGCCACTGGATCTTAGTTTAAGCCAGTTGAATCCAGTCCACAATTTCACACCCGGCTTCTTTCTATTTTAATGTTAAATCTGTTCTCTTATCCACGTAATTATCCTTAGTTCTTCTTTTCCTTCAGACTTTCCAACCAAATCTGAGTACGTATTTCTTGTTTCCATCATTCAAAATAGGTCTACATGTCCCGCTCATCCCATCCACCATTTTTTCCTTTAAAGTGACCAACTCCATTTTTCTCTGCATTCAATGGCTGTGTTTGGTTTTGCAGTTGTGAGGTCGAAACGTCAGTTTGGAGGTTTTGGATTTGGAGGTTCAGGTTCCCAAGCTGCAGCAAACAGTTATGGAGGAGGGTACGGCGGGGGAGGCTACCCCGGTGGATTTGGTGGATCTGCTTTTGGAAGCCCTGCTGGATACCTTGGCGGTGGTGGTGGTGGATTTGGTGGAATAGGACCATACGGAGGCATGGGCCTAGGATTTAGTGGATCCAGTGCACAGAGCTCTTCAAGTGCTTTTGGAGCTGGTGGCGGCCTCTGGGGCTAAAAAATTTGTTTATATGTAAACTAGAGACTATACGTAACGTCTTCAATAATTCTTGGATTCTTTGATGCTATATGCGAGATATCTCGGTTAGAAGCACTGCCCCTCCAGGTATGGACTTATTTGTTGCATAAGATGAATGACTGAAAAATGTCCCGTCATCTTTCAACGATCTGTGGTTATTCAGAAATGTAAATTATACATACATGGAAAGTGTTAATAGGTTTATTATTATATCAGAATATTTTCATAATGTCCAAATGCAATACCGTATTTACCTGAATATGATGTACATTTTCACTAGAAGTATCTTTATGTAAATTGAGTGCACGTTATAATCACGCAAGTTGAAATCACCCCATAAATAAAATCAAATATAAGACTTCCGGATACTTATTTACTAGGCCATAGCCTGTTTAAAACATTCAATAGATGTAACAATACTGATATGTACATATTTTCCTTCGATTCACCCTTTCAATACTGGGATGTTATAGTAATATTCAGTGTTGTATTGAATTCCAGAAGAAGTAGCTAGTGTGTTAAGACTTAACTTAAATACAGGCCTAACCTATAGATTAATATTTAAGAGACTTTCAGTGAAAGTTAACCACGGAAAGTCTATTTTTCGCTAATAACAAAAAATAACATATATATATATATATATATATATATATATATTCAGAATTATGTTTTGTTAAATGTAGGGTTTAGCCTATTTAACAACGCCATCAATAGCTCATATTATGTGGAGTCTAAGTATAAGATGTTTAATAAACAATGAATTCGGAAGAATGTGAAAGGAAACGCTCATGGCGTAATTAAAGATACTATCCCAGTATTTACCTTGAGGGACTGAAGAAAGCCACGAGGCACCTATCAGAATAATCTTATCTGAACAATGTTTGACCGCTGGACCTCCGGAATAGGAATGTTGAGATGGGTGAGACAAATTGACATTGACACTGAAATTTACAAAGTCTCTTCTTTACAATGTTGGGCATTATAAAACTGTAGTAATACAATTTCAATTAAAGTTACTAATTCAGAGATCTAAACTTAGTTGAGATTATAGTACTAAATTGTAGATGTAGAGGAATGGAGTGTGATAATTTAGACTGATAGAACTGGTTCAGCGAGCGTAATAACGAGCCGTCAGGTTCCATAGAAGTGAGAAGTGGGGAGGTTCTTGATCCGCTGAACAAATATCAACTTTCAAAAAGTACGATTCAGACACAGAACTTGAACAGAACCATAGGACACCCAGGAGGACGAACTGTATTTCCAGGAATCACTCCTTAAGATAAAATAAGGAAATCAAACTGTTTTGGAACACTACAGAAATGGAACGGAGATACAGGTTTTGAATGAGAGAGACAAACAACATTTAGAAACAGCACAAATACAATTTTTAAAAGCGCTGCTGAAATTCACAAAATTGGAGCAATTAAGAAACACAGATACAAGGGAAAGATTGCAAATCCAAAATACAGACAACTCTCCGTTTACAAACTCTCAATTTACGAACATTCGCTATAATGAACGTCATAATTCATTTAAAATTTCTTAAAGTCGCCAATAGATAGAGTTCCTTAAAAAGTGAAATGCCAAACGCATAGTGAACATAATTGTAAGATTTAAATAAATAAACTTTAAAAATGTATTTATTACAATAATTATGAGAAAATTATTACATGATAATTATACAGAACCATTCTTGGATATTAAAACTGATCTAGCCAGTAAAAGAACTTTGGTTTACATGCCACGCCGCGTAGAATGTTTTCACGTGGGAAAGAAATCGGTGATTCCCCCTATTATAATATAAATGGATCATCACTAGGTTATCTTAGACGGTCAATTGTAATTCTTCATTTGGTGACTTAAAAATATATTTTTAAAAATTTAAGCGATCATGGGTCCAAAGCCTACCAGTAGTGCTGGTACTTATAAACTATAACGCATACATACGAGGTGCGATCGGAAAGTTTCTAGACTGCGCCTATAAAAACCCGTACACTTATCTCATGTATTAAATTCATCCATCACCCTCGAAGTAGTTCCCCTGGGAGTGAACAAAACGATCCCAGCGCCGCTGCCATGCCTGGAAGCATCCCTGGAAATCTTTCTTTGTCAGCCTGTCCAGCACCATCTGCGATTCTGCCTGAATCTCTTCTATCGTCTCAAATCTCCTTCCCTTTAGCTGACTTTTCATCTTTGGGAAGAGGAAGAAGTCACACGGCGAATAAGGAGGGTGCGGGATGACGGCCATGGTGTTTGAGGCCAAAAACTGCCGAACTTTGAGGGCGGTGTGCGCTGGCGCGTTGTCATGATGCGTCGCATGTGGAGTTCTTCCTTTAGAATCAGCTGACAGGTCAGCCCCACTACATAAACCATCTAGCAAACAACGAAGTTACCTATCGCCCTGATTACGGACGTAGCAAGCACCTCTGAAACGTCGGTGAACTTCTACCAGACTACAAGGCACATTACTTTACCGCAGAAAACATTTATTTTCATACTCTTTGCCGTGAGAACCTGGAATGTTACAAATATTGAAAGTTTGTCTTAAAATGGCATACACTGCAATCGATCACAAGACATCAATTTTGATGACAAACGTTCGCCTCCCACGGACTTCATTTCATTAATTTTTCATCTCTATAATTTATTTGACTTCAACCACCTGAATTAATATTAATATAACAGACAATATAAAGGCTGTGTATAATATGGCAACCGATTGCCTGCAGACATGTGTAGAGCCAACTCCCGAAACGTCGTATACCGAAGATAGCTATCTTGTGGTTTGAAATAACATGTAAACTGTTAGACATTTACCGAAATTTCATATGTTTCTGCTGCCTCTATGAACAGCGTCCTGAAGACAACCATCTTCGTACTCACCGCTTTGAGAACGTTAAATTCTACGTCACATACCGGTTTATAAAATGTATCTGAGACCACGAACAATGTTCAAAATAATGTTGATACAATAAGTAAACCACTGTCATACATTTTTAGATAATTATTTATTTATCTTATTTAATTTCTCTTTGATTCATATTTGACTTTTATTTGACTGTATTTTTATTTACCTTTGGAGGAGTATATTCTATTGTAAATCATATGACTTAATTACTTTTAAAATTATAATTGAATAACATATACTGCGTACTGATTCATATTTCCTTTGATTTTCTGTTCCATAGAACTTCCTTCGTCAAAATCAGTTAGTGCCTACTGTGTAGCGTATAAGTAGGTATTCTCTAACACAAAGAAAACAAATTGACGCTAATAATCAACACCGTTGTATTAAAGACACGTGTATTTTTACGCCAGAACAGAAACAGTTAGAACTTATTTTTCTTTAAGATGGTAAAGTTGCGTCATATTGTGATATAATAAGTATATATTAAATCTTGTCCGTCCAATCACAATAATTCTTATTAAATATTAAAATATTACAATAATTAACATTTAAAATATTTAAAATATTAAATGATGTTCTTTATCGAAATATTCGATTTACATTAGACCATCATTTTTCATGTTTCACGACATGTTTCATTTCCTAAAAAATCTGAAAAAGAACATCATTGGATATCTGGTAAAAATCTGATAAAAATGTACGCTAACATAATGTATGAAAATTGTATTTGAATTATTTATCGTTTTGAAGCTTTATATAATTATATACACCTGAGGATGGTTCTTTTAGGAACTGAAACATGTCGTGAAACATGAAAAATGATGGTCTAAATGTAAATCGAATATTTCGATAAAGAACATCATTTAATATTTTAAATATTTTAAATGTTAATTACTGTAATATTTTAATATTTAATAAGAATTATTGTGATTAGATGGACAAGATTTAATATATACTTATTTTTCTTTGTAAGCTATTTTGTTGAACATAAGCGCGTTAAATCATGTTTCTAGGATCTGTAGATCGTAATGAGATATATAGTTTATGTTATTAATAATTTTATATATTATGCACCATTTCTAAGAGAAATGAAGTTCGATTTCATTTTATATAAGAAGATTTATATTTTAACCATAAGAATAAAAATTAAAATTTAATTATAATTTTTAATTTAGCATTCACATTCTAAAATTTTTCGAAATGTAGTTAATATTTTCGGAGATTAAACATGGAAACCTAAGATAAATACGCAGGTACGTTCTGCTATTGTACTTTAATTTATGTACTTTTTACTAAGACCGCATTCCATACATAAAACAAATTCTCTCGCTTTATTTTTGAATGAGGCCGGTCTTGAACCAAACACATTAGTTTATGTTGACTAACATTTATTTTAAACGTTTCAAGTGGAATGTTGCTAACTTTCTTCATCACTAGAATTTTATGCTGTCATTAAGCTAGGTCTGTTTCCACAATGCGTAACTTAATCAACTAATGGACCTAGAATGATATTAGTTACTACGTAAAATCATGTTACGAGTACAAACACAAGACGATTACAAGATGTCTAGAAACGTGTTAAACATTTCGCCGTAGGCATAGTTGTTTATTAGGTACCGTACCATATAAATAATATTTAAATTTATTGATTCATACGATATTTAATGACTCAATATCAACTTCAATGATGAAAATAATATTACGTGCAATTAATTAGTTTCCTATAATAATGCCAACCTAACCTTCACATATGCAGAATGTTCTGAAGATCCAAGTCATGGCGGTAAACAAATTTGTGGAGATAATGCAAACTAAATCGACTGCAAAGTTTATTGGTCGAACTGTGTTTTATAAATCTTAAACAAAACATCTTTTTCATGCCTGTTACTGTCTCATACCACCAAATCCAGCTGCTCAAGTAACCGCGATAATTTCTGCTCACAATTCTAATACAAATATAATTTGTATATCACACTACAGGGCTAATTAATAATTATATCAATTTAGTTACCCATTTCTGTGATAATTTCCACAAAAATTCCCGTTTTCTGCTTATGAAACCCAAAGGACATCTGTCTTCGTTCAAATCGTTTGTGGTTATCTTCACTTCCTCAGACAATATATGGTACAGTACCTTTAAAAAGAACACGACAGCTTCCTTCTGCTACATCTGTACATCCAAATCAATTAGTTGCCGTCACCTTTTCATTCCATTGTGCATAACTTAAATAGTTAAAGAAGTACTGTTAAACTAAAAACGACAACACTGAAAAAAATTAAATGTTTGTTAGCGTTCTACTCGCAAGCCATTTTACGTCTACTTTATCCATTTCTCGTACCTTCTGACGCTAAATAACCTCACAATCTGAGGCAGCGCCATTAAATAACCTATGATTGAATAAATTGCATTAACTCTGCAACCGCCAATTGTTTCTGCTTTAACAGAGTTTTTATAAATGTGTTTTCTATACAAAATGCTTGTGGTGTGATCATTAGGTCTTTATCTGACTGCGACCATGGAAAGTCCTTAACGAATACCATGTTCAGACAAACGCGTATATAAATAGGAGCATCTACCGAAATGAGGAGAATACTGTTTTGTGACGTGATATTACGATGGAAATTTGGATCCTGCTATTAGTGGCAGCCGTTGCCATGGCTGCCAACATTGATTGTAAGTATTATAGAAAAGATCCATGACAGCTTCGGACATGTATTTGTAAATATTTGAATTAATTTTATTCTTACATTTTGAATATACAATAGAAAATAATATACCTTAGAGGGAATTCCAGTAGTGTTGAAAGAAGTCTGCTTTCGTAACGCATTTATAAATATTTTTAGCGCAGAATTTTGAATTAAATTTCCATATCCATGTGAAAATATTTCTGCATGGACGAGATGTTCAAAAAATGCAAAGAATTAATACAAAGGAGCTTCAAGCACATATAAATACAATCTAATTCTTCGATTTCTTCCTCAAAGAGCATATGGCATTTCTGTTACAAAAACTAAAAAGCAAATTTCAGAGTAACAATGGCTTTTCATTCTGAGAAAAAATAAAATCCATAAATTAAATGCACTGTACATAGAATATCAAGTCATTTACCGTTAAATCCCATGATAAACTTAGTTGCTACTGTGCTTTCAGTTAAATAATTATATAATTGACATTAATTTACAACATATCTTACATTTCGCAGCGCCAACAACAGACAATCCTAACATATATCCTCCTGTATATTCAGAATATGATACTATTCACAAGTTACCCAATAAAAATCTTCCCAAAACGTCTCAATGCAAACCTGTAAGTCCTAAAACTCAGAGAGTATTGCAGCAACAAAAGGATCCAAAGTTACAGTGTGCAACTCAGAATTCTCAAGAACAAAATCCCATTCACTTTACTGTACCTAACGTTGCAACAATACCCACGACTACTCAGAGTGTCAAAACACCTCAGGGGCACATTTCTCGCACTAACACTGACAAAGCGTCTGCCCCTGTTCATCCGCGCATTTAACCTTACGTTAACACTTACGAAAAAATCCCACTAATGTCATTAATGCCCGCACCGGCACTTTCAAAATCACTTATCAGGTTTGTTCCAACTTTATCTGCACCTGCAGGTCCTAAACATACTCCACAAGTCCCCATTACCACTCAGAATGTTCCAGTATTGATTCCTGCTCATACAAATGCTCCTCAAGTACCATTTATTTCTCAGAATGCACCGCAAATTCCTTTAGTGTCTAAATATCATATTGAAAATTCCCCCTACGTAATACGGAATACTCGCAAAGTAGCATTCGTTCCTGAAGTTCTTAATGTAAATGTCCTACAAGAACCATACACTTCTCAGAATACTCCTCAATTTTCCACAACAACAGAAAATGCTTATTCATATGTTCCAAATGTACCACTCACTTCCCAGATTATTCAGATTTCTTCTGTGGCAGACAAATTTCCTATAAATCCCACAGAAGTACCGGTAACATTTGTTTCTCAAAATAAACCTCAGAATTTCTCCGCGTTTGTAAATAACAATAAAATTTCTGCAGAATTACCATTTGATTCTAAGAATGACCCTATGAACCTCCAAACTTCTGTAAATAATACTCCTCAAAATGACCCCAAAGTAACACCAGTGCTTGTAAATCTTCAAAATAACGTTCCAGAAGTTGATATTGCTGCTCAGAATGTTTCTAATAATATACCAGTAGCTTCTAAAGAAACCGCTAAGAATTCCCCAGAAACTTCCGGAAAGACACGTAATCCTTTTCATTGTCCCACTGTTATCAAGGAACTATCATAAAATAAATACCCTGTCCTTGTTTTTAAAAATGTCCTCCATCCTTCCGAAAACATTAAAGAATATTACGAGAAGACATCATCTGAACCAGACAACAACAGATTCTTCAGATGTCATCGGGAAGAAGAAAGGAGTTTCATGTCCTCTCCTGCATGGTTATCATATCACTGTCATAATGATGATATTCCAATTAAACTGTTGGTTGAAGTGCCAAGAGCCCTTCGAGATGAACCAATTATTGACGTCGAACTCTATACACCGTATTCCCAGTTGGTGGATGATGCCTGGAATGATAAGTATGAAGGTGTGGGGAAAATGACGTTCCTGAAAGACCTGTTGACACAGTGTTCATACGGAATGGCTGTTGTTAAACCCGAAGGATCGTCTACCCGCTTCATCCTTATGCCAATTGCAGCGCCGGTGGTAAGTTCATTGTACCTAAAATAAAAGTGTAATAAGCAGGTCGTATCTGTCTTTTAAGATGTTTTAATTCGAGAATCAGAGGATATACTTTTCTGTTAAGTTGTAGCACTGTGTAGTCTGATAGAATTTTACAAACTTTTCAGAGGTCCTTGCTGCCTTCATCATCAGGGCGATGGTTGGACATCTAAAATGTCGATAAACCACCAGACTAAATGGCGCTATAACCCAGAAGACAGACATCTTCATACTCACCGCCGTGAGTATCTCAAGTCCTACTGAAACTTATTTCTTAAAATTATTTACTTTGTACTACTTTTCCGAAGCTGACATTGGTTTCTTAATTAGATAATAGCATTAAACATAATCCATTGAGTCCAGTGGATGGAGCCCAGCTTCCGAAACGTTTATTTAATGAAAAGCGTGTAAGGAAAATGTATCAGTTTAACACCACAGCTTCGTCAGGAAACTTTGGATTAATGTTATCCATAGATTGTTTGTTGATGAAATATCGTGTAGGTGACGAGTATAAATTTTGCATTTCTTGTATATAGGCATTCATGTTGCTTCTAGTTATTGTTAAATATTAATATCATTAACATTTACACAACTCTTATTTTAAAAGAAAATTCGTGTTATGGTTACATGATTCGAATTTTATACATCTCCTTCACCATCTCCAGGCCATTATTGATTTACTTCAGTAGCTAGGCACATTCTGTATTATAAATGAAACTTATTCAAACCTAGATGTAATTCTGTCAAATTGGTCCATGTCCTGAACATGACGCATAAATATCGAAACGTATAACCATGTAATATTGTTTAAAAATAAAGAGTAGTATAGATTGTAATAAAATTAAGAATATTTAATAATTAATTACGGAACCTTTGATTATGTACTTCCCTGTCTTTTGTCGTTTAATCTATTTAGAACTATAACTATCTGGTAAGTTGGTCAAGGCCACTGCAGCTTCTGTTTCTAAAACTTCAGTTTCGGCCCGCAAATCTGTAAGATTTAAGTATTAATCACTCATGCATATGAATTTACTAATATTTTAGGAAATAAAGTCGACAGATGATTTGTGATCTAAAGTTTACAGGGCGACTAGCATTACTAAAGTCTTCTCGTGCTATCAGCAGATGTGTCAGGGATCATTTCTGCCCTTATTACCAAGGCTTTGAAGTTAACACACGCATTATAGCTTTCATCATGATTTTTAACGAGCTGACACGATTATCAGGGTTATGATGGGTGAGTTATATGATAGCCCTGATGATGTAGGTATTTGAAACGTCTTCTATTTTTAACCAACTTACACTATTGGTAGCCCGAGAAGACTATTTTTTTACTGATGACATTTGAGGACGAAGTTCTAGATAGTTGAAGATTTCCGTCTTCTGGGTTGTTGCGCTGTTTAGGCTGGTCGATGTTAACCAACGTTTCAGAGGTCATACTGCCTCCGTCATCAGGGCCCTGATGACGGAGGCAGTATGACCTCTGAAACGTTGGTTAACATCGACCAGCCTAAACAGCGCAACAACCCAGAAGACGGAAATCTTCAACTATCTAGAACTTCGTCCTCAAATGTCATCAGTAAAAAAATAGTCTTCTCGGGCTACCAATAGTGTAAGTTGGTTAAAAATAGAAGACGTTTCAAATACCTACATCATCAGGGCTATCATATAACTCACCCATCATAACCCTGATAATCGTGTCAGCTCGTTAAAAATCATGATGAAAGCTATAATGCGTGTGTTAACTTCAAAGCCTTGGTAATAAGGGCAGAAATGATCCCTGACACATCTGCTGATAGCACGAGAAGACTTTAGTAATGCTAGTCGCCCTGTAAACTTTAGATCACAAATCATCTGTCGACTTTATTTCCTAAAATATTAGTAAATTCATATGCATGAGTGATTAATACTTAAATCTTACAGATTTGCGGGCCGAAACTGAAGTTTTAGAAACAGAAGCTGCAGTGGCCTTGACCAACTTACCAGGTACATCAGGTATGGATACAAGCTAATTCCGACAGAGTTGTAATCCGCGTCTGACTCCCGACAAATGACTGATGCGTTTACATGGGCTACCACACAACCTGGTCTTGACTTCAGGAAGAGGGCAGGCCTGGTTTACATATTTTAATCAAATAATTTAATATTTCCAACTTATTTCAAACACTGCTCGAAATTTGATGCTGTACCGAATTAAATAAACACGTTTCTTATATTTGTTGCATATTCTTCAAAATGTTTAATTAAACTTTTTTTAATTTCAAAGAGTCCGTCGATTCTTATGTTATTTAAATACAAATTTCAAGGATTATATAACACCGATAGATTCGTATGATATTTAAGAACACTGTTTTAACTGCAAAGATTATGTAGCATAAATAAGTTCATGAACGGAGAGTATGTGATGAATTGGAAGGCAGTGACTCGCCTTGACGATGGAGGCAACAA